TCTGACAGTGACATATTCATGTTAGGTGCTGTGTCAGACTTCTTGTTGTACCCATGAAAGACAGAAGGGCTACTTTCCTTCTCATCAATTGCATTAGCCCTTCTTTCTCATCAATTGCATTGAAGAATGTTGAAGCTACTTTCTGAACACCAGCCATTGCAACTGGATCCTCAGAGTTAATGCCTTTTCGTCAGAGCTCTTGTTCTATCTTCTTTATATTTAACTTCTGAGATTCAAGAGTTTGTTCAAATCTGGCCTTAAATAATGCCTGCATTCACAAACACAAGCACTCATATCATTCCATTTTCAAACTACAATGTCAATCTCAATGGTATTAGACTTTCTGGGGCTAGAGCACAACAGGAAGACAAGTCCAGAAGGGTTTCTAAACAAAAAAAATACTACAGACTGGTGCAAATAAATCCAAGATAGCAATGACAAAGGACATAAAATGTTTACTCACCTCCCTTTTTCGTAAGGGTATTGATAGGGATCAGATTTTTTGGTTGCCGATAGTTTCTACCACAAAACATGATAATTGTTTTTACATTATGTACGTCAACCACAATCCCACCACTCGGTCTTGCAAGCATAGTTGCCATCTCCTTGTTTCTTTCTTTGGGGAAGTTATCACAACAGACTTGCACAGTCTCGTGAAATTTCCAGTGCAGATGCATATTTTGGACGACTCCTCCAAAGACTCCACAAACACCAACAGGAACATAGTTTTTGTTTCTAAATCCAATCCTTTTATATGCCTGAAGTTGCTCAGGCGTCAGTAACTCAGGATCATGCACTGGAGATGACAGCTCCAGAAGCTCATACGTCTTGAGTTTTTGCAACAGAAGTGCCACTTTCTTCTTGGCCTGCATTAATTAGATAGATCAACATAATTGCTACTGTGAAAGCATAGCACCTTAATAATTATTTAAAGGATTTCTGGAGTTTGAAACACATCATCACTCTAACAACAGGCTCCAGAGAACCAAATCAATTTTATCAGCAGACAGCAGAATATTTATTTAGTCTAATATTATCCAACATGGTCTGAATAGCAGTGTATGTTAGGAGATCAATTATTACATGAGATCCTCATTTTCAGTTATTTATACTAACAAAAATAAGCTACCATTACTCATATCAAAGAGATACATACTCTTCTGAGATTGTAAATAGGCCGCCCCTTATCAGTCATCAGCTTCTTAATCTTTTTTGCTCTCCTTATCTCCCTTGAGGTTTTACCCTACTCTTCCTGCATACGTCTCTGAGGTCGCTCCGCCTTGCTTCGCATGCTTCTCCCCTTGGAGGTTGACATTGGCCGATAGCAGCCGCTGAAAGGAATATTCAGCAAAGGAAATGGTTCACTAGAAGTACTTGGCTGCATCACACTGCATGATACTTGCTTTGGTGCAACATCCTTGAATAACATAACATTAAAGAAAAGAGAAAGATAGAATTCAATGGAGAAAGCCCAAGAAAATGGAAAGCTGGCAGATTTATAAAGTTCATCTCTTGCATTGGAAGTGAGATTATTCATCAAATGGAGCTGAAGAAAACCTAAACATACAATCATCATATACACTCAATTGCTCCCCTAGAAACAAAGATTTGATTTTTGTGTTGACCCAGAACATGAAAACGAGAATGAAAATAGAATTACAGAGAAAGATGAGAACTTTACTTGTGGGGATTGGATTGTCAAAGAGAAGAAAGAAGCCTGAAGCAATGCCTTTTAATAATTCTTTTTTTTTTTATACATGCCTTTTAATAATTCTAGTAGCAAACATTTACTCAAATTGAATAAAGACTGCTGCTTTCTGGTTTCACTTTATATGGGTTTTCTTTGATTTTGCTCAAAGGATTTGAGTGAGCTTTAGGGTTTCAGACTTTCAGGTTTTAGGACTGGCCGACTGGGTTTACAGTGTTACTCCATGAACAGAACAAGAAGGGGACTGTGCAATTTAACGACACCGTTCCAAGATGCAGATGCCATCATCAAACTTTTGGGCCTTGTGCCTTGTAAGTTTTAGACCAATTAAATCAATTATTCGTAATTGAAACAAAACAAATAAGTACTGTAAACCGCCCCAATCACAGGCACATGCAATCAACAGTCCACCAGCACCAGACAAGACGATCTTGATTAGTTGGATTTTTTTTTTTTTTTTAACTGAAATGACAATGAAGGGATAAACCAATAAACAAACAAACAAACACAATTTTTCTTATAATACAAGTCATCAATGTTCTTCACGATCATCATTTGCTAGAGTTCAATAAAACTTTCTAATTACAACAACACCAAATTATGGAAACACGGATTTCGTATTAATCTCCAACATGAAGAATCCAAGGTTGAGGCCTAAACATGCAACCATTTGGGAAAAGCAGAACATCTCTGCATCTGCTGCATGAGATGATCCTAATGCTTCGTGGAGCTCCAAAACTTGGAAAACCAAGGAAGAACAAACTCTACGTTCCTAAAAAGTGGATGCCATAGAAAGTGGAATTGTTTATCCCCGGGAAAGCTTTTCCTTTATGATAATTCTTTATAGTCGATCCAACCAGCTAAGAATGCTCTCCTGGGAACCAAATTGCAAATCCTGCATAAACCCACAATAATTTTAAACTGTGTCATAAATTGATAATCATAGATCATAGGACTTGAAATGTAAACACATTGGTGGGACTGTGAAGGGAGATGAAGCTTACAGCAAGTGGTATATCAGGTGGGGTATCAAACTCTAAGTTTGCAAGCTCAGAAATACTACATGGTGCATTGTCATTAACATTCACCTCATTTCTGCTGAGAGCACCAGCAGTATTTGAAACATGATTTCTTCCTGAACTATTTAGAAGAGAAGAAGAATCAAAAATCTCCTTGCATAACAAAGAATCATCAATCATAGTCAAGTCAGGGTTTTCTACAGCCTGAGATTCCCCTGCAAACCATGTTGGGTACTCCATGTCATCCTCAAGTTGAACAGGAGGAGGCTGGTCATAGTATGCTTCCACATCAAACTTTGCATCCTAATCAACATAACACAACTTCAGTAGGAACAAAGCAGCCAAACAAACGTTACAAACTAAAAGTTTAATCATGGCATCATTTCTTGCTTTCGATATCATACCAGATGAATTTTCTGTCTTCACTGTTATTGCATTTGATCAATATTTCATAGAAACTTAACATTACAAGTTTCTTAATCCCCTATAGCTATCAAATTTAAGCCTGAAGGACTTGTCATGAACAATTAGTGATCCATTTGATTGCTGACTTAATTCAATGATCTTCATACTACTCAACATACATTATAGCACTCAACTAATCAAAAGATTCTCTGTGTGTGTCCCAATGAAGAATAAACACATAATTTATCTAACTTCGAATACGCACTCTCATATAGTGACTATTGACTAAACATCTTTAACAGTTAAGAAGGCACATTGATTGCTTTGGATCATGATTTATAACAAAAACAACCATTTACCTGGGGAGTTGAAGGTATTGTAGTATCATCAATAAAATCATCATCAACCATAGACTTCCCTGACCGAGGTGGATTAGGAGGAACTGTTTTGGGGGTCCTTGGACTAGTGTGAAGTGTCAAATTATCCTGTTCTTCAATAACCTGGCTCTCATCATTCTTGTCAGTTTGCTTTGGCTGTTGATAGAAAACTTTAGAAACCACATATTCCCCTTCCTTCTCATCTTCATCATTCCCTAAATGGTATTGATGCATCACCCAGTTGGACTTATCTGGCTTGGACCCCTTCGTTGAACTTTTATAGAGAACCATGATCTTCTTCCAGCCCTTAAGAACCCCTTTTTCTATGACAGGTTTAGTCTTGCCTGTTTTGTGCCAACGAACATGCTCCTGATTTAGATCATGTTGATTGTGGATCTTGCGGCGCTTCCGCTGACCAGTAGCATAAGCATTAATTGTTCTGTGGAAGAAATGAATACTATTTCCATTTTTCTTTGCACCTACAGCAAACAGAAGGAAAACATTTAGTTGAAGTACTAATACAGTTGCACTTTACTCTTTATAATTTTATCTAGACTACATAAATTTGGGAATGGATTTGGCACAATTACAACCTAAAAATCTCGTACAGTCATCTTATCTCATAGGTGATGGCAAGTCAAATAGAAATCCAAGGCTTCAGCGGGTATGCTAACCTGGAAGGTTTTCAGGATGAGTGTAGCAAATTCCCTGATCCCACTCTAGTGTTGGGATAAACTCATCAATAAAGGTGTGGGACTTTGAGGTTCCAATACCACACTTAGCTTCTAAATGTTCAACAAGCTCTACATCAGATGGATCGAACTTGACCCCAGCAGGAAGACCAGGCCAGTCCTGAGAAACCTGCACAGAGGAAGCTCAAAGAAAGATGTCACTAAGTCTTCCATCCAAAATGAACATGCCAAACCTTTCAATCACACATTACAAAGAGACATACTAGTGCTACATCATGTGATAAACTCATGCATTTGGGAAATTGAGAAAGCCAGAAAGACAACTGAAATATTCAACTTTTGTGGTACATTCGGTTTATGTATTATGCAAAGAATTCCACATAAACAATCAATCTACATACAAAAATATAGTTGTAAACGTAGACTAACTATATCAATCAAAATGTTAAATTACAACTTACATCGCTGTTATCTATGCGATAGTGGCAACTAGGGCATTCACGATGTGCCCCACAGTCTTTGATTTGAAGAGCAGATGACTGGGAGGCATTCCTTACTTTCTTTGCTATTGCTCTACTATCAACAAGCCAGCTCCTGCAACGAAGATTAGATACAATTAAGGAAAAGAAAAAAAGAAGACAGAGATTTCAGCATGAGTCTACCACTAAAACAAAAGAAAATATTTGCTGGAATACTTGAAAAAACAGCCATTGGAATTCATTCATAAATCACATAATATGTGCCACAAACAAAAGTGAAATAACAGGATAATTTGTTCGGTGTACCCCAGAACAATTTGCAAGACTAATATTGAATAATGCCACAAAGAACATCAATTTGAGGATATGTCCATCCGAGAAAGTATCTTCTTAGTGAATTTAGCTAGAAAAGAAATGAGAATTTTCAAA